GAAGAAGTGCCCTTCTCTGCCTCCAGCCAAGCCCACTCAGACAATTTGCAAGCTCACCATGATCACCACGGTGAGATTTACTCACAAAAGCACCAGGAGGACAACAGCCATCCTTTCAGTGATGGATCCCTCCTGCTTCACCTAATCCTGGGCAAGTCTAAGAGTTACAAAGCCTCAGTTTGGGCTGTTCATTTCAGCTTTTCTGTGAGTTCTAAACCTGCTAGGAATTCTCCTCTATTTCTTCTTTTGGCTAGGACAGAAATATAATGAGCTATTTATCCATGCTACAACTTTATTTCCAAAACATCCTTGCAAGAAGGACTACATGGCTTTCTGTGTGTGCTCTGTTTAATTTTAGCCTTGAAAGTCATTAGGAACCATAATTTCTTTACCTGCAGTGAGTACACACAAATGCTTGATTTCTCTTCTGAAATCTTGAACTGTTCAGAGTTGGGGTTTTTTAATTAAATAAAGAGTTTTGTGTTCGAAAGCTGTTAGAGTTTAGGCACCAGCTGCCATCTATTTGAGGAGACTTCCCAGAGAAGCTTCCAGAATGAGCATTAGAAAGTATGAAAGTGAGGGTAACAGAGACATCCGCAACAATATTACAGAGTTCTTTCAATAATCTTATTTCTCAGAAATCACGAGCATTTGTGCAAAATGGCTTCTCTGCATTGGGACTTTAAATGTCACTCACCCACAAGCCTGAAGCAAATTTCTTTGAGCAGAGAGAATACAACACAAGTGGAAACCACCCACAGTACAGTGGTCTTAGTGACTTCTTAGAAGACTTGCCCTGAGCTGTAAGGCAATAACGTGTGGGGAGAGAGACCCACAAACCAAATGTCTCTTTTTTTTCTGTCCTACCAGAGCAGAGTGATAAATTCCACCATCTGAGGATGAAATGATTACTACCATTGGTAAAGTAACACTTACAACAACCCCCAGAATAAGCTTTTACAACTTCTGTGATTCTGCTAAGAGCAGATGGACCAAAAGTCTCAGGGTGTCATGAACTGCAGAGAGGGATGAACTTAAAGGCTTTCCTACAGAGTTATTAATTACTAATTACTGATACTAATTCAGTAAGAAGGAATGAGAGATCATCTTCCACTTGGCATGTGCAGTGTTCAGACATTATTCCCATTACAGACAGAAAGCACAGGAGTGTAGCAGAGCGTTTCTAAAACCTCAGCTGAAAATCTCTGGGGCCATGAACTTGTTCTCCAGGGAGAGTTTCAGACACATGTCAGTCACCCAAAAGCAAAATAATGGTTTTTGTGAAGTAGTTACACAGAAATTAGCACTATCCAGAGAGTTCTTCCAGCCCTACCAGCAGTTAATTACACAGAATGGAGTCACCTCCCATCAATTGGACAGGTAATCTATTTGTACCACACAGATTGTGACAACAATGAAAAATTTTAGTGTTAGGACAAAATGGTTTATTCCCTTTAGTCAGTATTTAGGTTGGTTGCTTTATTTCCAGTTCTTAAATGAAAAAATTATGTGAGATTCTTGTAGACAAGGCAGAGTACTCTGGCTATCTGAGAGAGTAATGCATGATGAGTAATGTATTGATTTTCTAAAAAGTAAGTTAAAACCTGTTGAGACTCCAAATTAACTTGGAAATATTTCTTGCATGTTGCACAAAGCCAGTAACCAGTAATTCCTGAAGGAATCGAAATAGTTTTAAAAACCATGCAAAACAACATAAATACTGTTGAATTTATACAACAAGCAGTAAAATAACTCATTAACTAGTGCAGGAGCAAATTAACCAAATATGTCACATTAAAGAAGTAGCACCAAAGAAGCATTTTCAGCACCTCAAAGCTGTGAGAAAACCAAATCTGTGAACCAGAAAAAAAACCCTGCATATTTTCAAATTGACTGTAGCTGACTGCTAATATAATGCAAGTTGAGGGTTACAAAGCATTCAAAAAGAAACTAAATGCTCTCAGTGGTGCAGGTCCCATCCCAGCCTCAGAACTGCACTTCCCACCTCTCCTTGAAAACATCTCCCTCTCCAGAGGCTGAGACAAGACAGAAAAAGAAGCAAGAGCAACAGAGTTAACCCATAGGAATTCTGTCTGCAAGTCTGGGGGTGAAAATTTCAGTTTTTCTGTTTTCCAGTTAAGATCTGAGACAACTCTGCATCTTCAGAATGCTCCAGCCCTCTTTATTTAAAATAAAATTTATTTTATTAAATCCCCAATTATTCCCTGACACTCTGGAGCTAAATTCCCCAGCAGTTCATTCACCACTGCTTGGGTTAATTGTGGTGCTTATGAAATGGCTCAGTGCGTGTCATTTTCCTCAGAAAGGTGTTACTTATTTTTTTTAAAGTTTGTTTGCACCAAACCACTACCAAAAAAAAAAACCTCTACTATGGCTCCCTTTCACAGCTTTTTTCTTTTTTTTCACCATTGTGGTCATGGTTTCACATCAGAAAGCTGATCTCAAATGTCACTTTATTCATTGTCAACCTCCCTATGCTGCCTCTCAGGGCTTTTGCCCCTTTTTGACTAAACCTGCATCTTGTTCCAAAACTGAAAATGTGATGAAAGGTAGTTGAAATGAACATCTCGGTTCCTAGATTGGTACCTGATTTGTTGGTTCTTCCTCAGCTCTTTACCCACTCCTGAGCTGGGCTTTTCCAGGGACAAAGCCAGAATTGGCCCAGCACCAAGTCTAGCAGAATTCAAGAAAAGTTTGGCAATGAGACCTGGAATTCACAGGGTCTGAAGGGTTATTTTCTTCAGTGATTGGTTTTAAAAAGAAAAACCTCACTTGCAGATTTTGTGATTAAAGTGGAAAACTTTTATTATGCTGTCTAGTGGGATGCTGCTAGGGGCAGTTTATACAGAACTTTCAAGAAGCCTCGAATCACTATTACAAAAAAACAACAAAACACAACAAACCACTAAAAGAAAAACTCATTTATTTGCAAGATATATGAAAAAGGTTTTAATATATGTATGAAAATATTGAGGAACTGTACAAAACCCCAACACAGACACAATTTATCCAGGTCTGGCCATGTGAAGAGAACACCTATTTGCTCACAAGATGAACCTGCACCATTCACCCCTCACAGTGAGGGGATTTCTCCCTCAGCTCTGGTGCACGGCATTTCATGAGCAATATCTGGAGGGAAATATGGTCTCCTGAGGGGCAGGATTGTCTTGGCATGCTGGGATCTTATCAGAACTCAGCTCTGGAGAGGAATTATCCTTTGTGCCTGGCTCTGCTCCAGCTATGCACTCATCAAAGACAAACTAACCCTAATCCCTTAAAAAAAATAAACAATTACACCAATAGAGAGAAACTCCAGTCCCAGCCTGTCCTCAGCAGCCAGAGCCCACCCCCATCAGCCCTGCCCTGTACCAAGGCAATTCAGCATTCCTCTGTGGAAGATTGTTGACTTTCCACAGTGGCCCCAACTCTGCAGGACCAAAACACCCCTGGAGGAGGCTGAGCCCTTCCTTGGCCCAGCTCCCCACAGCCACCTCTTCCAGAAGCTGTTACCAAACCAAATTTAGCCTCTTCTTGCCTGAGGTGAGTTTTGATAAATCCCTTTGATAAGAAGGGGTTTTAGATCATGCCCAGGTTGGAATGCAGGCATTTGCTTTACTTCACCCTGGATTATTTCACCTTGTGTTGTACAGTGTGGAGTCACTGGGTTGGAGAAACTCATCCAGCACATCACAAACATATCTGCTGTCCCAGAGTCTTAGGTTGGAAATGGGGGTATCCTATTCCCATCTGTCAGAGCTGGGGCAGGTATCTGCTGCTCACTGGGCAGTTTGCTTTATCTCTCCCACACCCAACCCTCCCTCCAGGAGATCTCTGCTGTCCATGGCCACTGAGTGTCCCTGCATGGCTGAGAAAATTCCATCATCCATGGGGAGATGCTCTGCCCAGGGGAGGAGCCAAACATTCCTACCTGGATCCAATCTGACCTGGGAACAGCACAGCAGCCTTTGCCCCCTGCATTCCCAGAGGAGCAGCTTTCTTCCCACTGCATTCCCAGAGGAGCAGCTTTCTCCCCACTGCATTCCCAGAGGAGCAGCTTTCTCCCCACTGCATTCCCAGAGGAGCAGCTTTCTTCCCACTGCATTCCCAGAGGGGCCCAGGTCCATCTCCCCCAGCCCTGGAGCTCCAGAGGAAAACTCCCCCCTTGTGCAGGATCCTGCTCCAGCAGAAGCACAGCTGGCACTGCAGGAGGGCTGAGCCACCCTGGGATGGGGCTGCTGCCACCTCCCTGACCCACAGGGGCTCAGGGCATTTCTGACTCTGGCACTGGTTTGTTTTCCTTTTTGGTTCTATTGCATTTGTATTTTTAATTTCCCTAGTAAATAACTGTTATTCTTATTCCCATATCTTTGCCTGAGAGCCCCTTAATTTCAAATTTATAATAATTCAGAGGGAGGGGATTTACATTTTCCATTTCAAGGGAGGCTCCTGCCCTCCTTAGCAGACACCTGTGTGTTCAAACCAAGACACCCAGGAGGCCACCAGGACCCAAATTTAGTCCCTTAGCCACATCAAGACCCCATCAGTCCCATGAGTAGCTCTGACAGAGGCAATAAACTAAAATCTAGACTTGATTTTTTTTTTTTTGTGGGACCATCATGGCCTTGGAGCAGGTGAGCCCACATGGATCCAGCATTTCACCCTGCCGCGTTTCTGAAGTTTTTGCAAAATAGATTTCCCTGCTGTAACTCCTGAGTAGTTTTAGCTGCCTGAGCTCTTGGGCAAGGGTCCCCGAGAGAACTGGAATCCATACCTGTGTGGATCCATGGCAAATTATTGATCAGACCTGTGTGGTCTTCCTGAGATTTAGCAATGCTCAGAACCAGACCTCCTCATCCTAGAAAGGATTATTTAGCAAAGAAACGAGCCCATATGTTGCATTTAACCCCAAAATGCTGCTTTTTCACACTGAACTGCATACACTGTCCAGGGTATATTTTGCTACATTTTCTGTACATTACAAAAAAAAAAAAAACCAAAAAAAAAAAACCATTAAAAAAAGTAGAAACAGCCTTGGAAATGAAGATTTTCTACCCACTGAAGAAGGTAGGTGATAGCAACTTCAGTTCAGGTGGTTAAAGCAGCTCTCAGAGCTGGCTGTGAGGGAATGGTCCAGCTGGCAGAAGTTCATCCACCTCTGGAATAGGTGTTACTTCTGACCAGCGTGCTCCGTCTGGAGTTGTAGGACATGTCTTCATACACCACATTTACCACATTGGGCTTTTTCCTCTGGAAATATTTCTTCACCTGCGAAACCAAGAAAATAATCCCAGTGAAGGAAAAAATTTGATTTTTTTTTCTGAAAGAGGGCCAATTTTTTTCTCCCAGCACTACTTTCAGGCTATTTTATGAGTTTTTCTTGCCCTCATGTCCCCCTCCTAGTTACATCTCTTACAAGCTTGCTATGTACAGCTCCAGTCCCAATTCACAAAAATTTTTTTAAACAGCAAGCAAAGCAGAACAGTGAGGGGCTTTGTTCAGGGATACACACACAACACATGGCTATGTCAACCACACAGCTCACTCAAGGTTTGTTATCAAAACACAATAAATATCTCATTTATACAGGGTTACGGAAGTGTAAGACACTGTGTTAGCTGCCAAGAGTTTACAGCTGGAAGATATTAAACAAGGGCAAATAGGAGAGCAATAGGAAGCCACAATTCCTTAGGTTTATCAGATGTTTGCTTGACTCAGGTACTATTTAAAAATAATATCAGTTTGCCCAAATTTTGCTGTGGTGACTGTACTTACATCCACACGGTACAAGGTGCAGCACACCAGGGCACAGAACAGCAGAGCCACCACTGTGACAAGGACATACAAATCCCAGGAGCTCTTCTCACATGCCTGCTCCACTTCTGCATTTAAAATTACAGCAGCATTATTATAAATACAAAAAGGCAGAATTTTGTCAGATTAAGTTCTTTTCTGACCCAGACATGGGGTAACTGAAGGTGTTTTAAAAACTTTTATTCCATTTTCAGTCTCATTTGAAGGGTGGGACAATGCAGGTGTTATAATTCACACCATCACAATCAGAAGCCAATTATTTCCCAGTTACAATACACTATAAGTGTTTCTTAACCTATCAACTTTTACCAAACCATCCTATAAATACCTTAAAGCAAATCATCTAAAATTATGCCTCATGGGTCCTACTCCAATGCATCTTTCTTAGTTCTATTTCTCCAAAGTATCCAGTCTTTTTTGCAAGGCCATCCTTGGAAACTTGTTTCTATTTCTATTTCTCTCTCAACAATGTCTGTCCTATTCCATGGCATTTCTAACTCAGCATTTCTTATCTCAAGGTTTGCATACAGATGCACACCATGTGAATCTTCTGTCAGGTTTTGAGAATTTTCTACAGATCTATTTGCCACAGAATTTTATTTTTATTCTGAAAAAAGTAATTTTACAGTAATTTTACAGTAATTTAACTAAAAATTCAGATATTGACAGCTACAGTAGTAGCTGACATGCCATTAGTATTCTCACTGGCATTCCCTGTGCTCTTTCAGAGTCTGGGGGTGGCTGCTGGTGGCTCAGCAAGGAGCATTGCACAAAGGCAGCTTCCACACACTCTTTATGGGAGCAGAAAATATTTCCTGCAGTGTTGCTGCAACCCTGAGGGCTCTGAATTATCCAAGAGCCAGGCTGGTGAGAGGTGCAGACAGAAGCAGGAGGATGCTGTGGTATGAAATGCACTGAGCAGAATAATGCTGGTGGAAAGGCTTTCAACTCTCTGAAACCTCAATTAATCCATATATGAATAACACACTAATTAACAATCTAACACAATTAATTAATAATCACACCCCTGCTTTGTTGGGCTACTGCCATTTCCCCCACCTCACTTTACTGAGTTGTTGCCCCAGCTGTGGGTGGTGGCACAAAACAGGACCACGGGTGCTTTTTCAGACTGCAGGAAAATCCTTTGCAACTCTCAGGGCCTTTGTAAACCTTGTTTTACAAAGCCAAATGCACAGGGTTAAATCCACCAGTAAGACCAAAATCAAGCACTCTCTTGCTGGCTCTGACTTCAGCTTAGCAAATGGCTACAGCACAGTCCAGCAGGAAAATAAAAAACTCATCTGTGGAGCACAGAAAAGTAAAAACTCATCTTTGGAGCACAGAAAAATGAAACCTCCTCTTTGGAACACAGTAAAATCAAACCCCTTATTTGGAACACAGAAAAATCAAACCCCCTCTTTGCAGCACACACTCATAGAGTGCTCAGTGTGTAACAGGGTATGTGAGAGCATCTCTGTTGTGGTCTGTGGTGCTTGAAGCAAATGCCTGAGGAATTTTGTGCTCCTCACTGTGATCTATTTAACACAAGACTTGCCAGAGGGAATGGTTTCTAAAAGTCGTTTATGTCATGCTAAGGTTAAAGAATTGGTGCTGAAAGTACTTATCCATATTCTAAAAGTGACAGATTGCACACAGTGAAGTGTTTGTTACCTTGTTTTGATTTTTTTTTTTCCTTTTTCTAAGCTGCAGGATCATGGCAAGGTCTGAATTCCCCTCTGGTTGTACAAGTCAGGTGGAAACCCAGAGTCTGTTTCTGTGTCTGAGCTCAACAGGGCACAAAGGAGCCCGAGCTCACTCTCCAAACTCTCCTAGGTTTGCCTGTCCTGACTAAAGTTCCTAAAGCTTTCTGTCCACGACACAACGACAGATATTTATGATTAAACAAGCAAAAGGGTGGTACCTTTAACCAGCACCATGGTGCCACTGGCTGAGAGCAGAGGGGAACCCTTCACATCCTGGGCACAGATGTAGATATCACTGTCCTGCTCCTGTAGCCTGTGCAGAGTTACCACAGCTCTGTTTCCTTCCCTGGAATACCCCAAGCGATTCCCAAAGGCAGGAGAAACCTCTGACACGTTGAGCTTTGACACAGACAGAACTGTGCCAGGCTGCACGTGAGTCCTGAGCAAGTAGAACTTCTCATCTTCAGGAGAGCTTTTCAACACGCAGGTGATGTTGACAGACTGGCCTTGCACAGGGTTGGCATGGAGTGGTGATTGCTCCACAGGCCTTCTGGATTTAGCTAAAAACAGAGAGATTAGTGGTTATCACACGCTTAACACAGTGCATTTTAACTGGGGAGCAAGGGAACAGAGCAGACAGAAAGAAGAGACCATAGAAATGCTGATAAAATGAATTTTTAAACATGCTTTACACAGACTTTGAAAAGAAGGATATGTTTTAGTACACCCTGTCATATCTTCCTGCCTCAGGGTATGAAAGTAGGACTGACCAACAGGTTTAGCTGTTTGCAAAGGGTCTGCATCGACCTAAAAATTATAAATACTGACCTCCTCTAAGGGAATACAGCTTGATCAGCATGTCCTGGAGTCATGCATCATTGCCTGCTTTCTCAAGTGAGTTGAAGCCTGGATCAAATCACACAGTGTGTGTCCCATCAATGTTCAAATGGTCTGTGAGAATGGAGTGGTCATTAATGACTCACTGTCCAGCTGGGAATACATTCCACTGAGTTCCCCTAAGGACAGGACTTGTTCCTTTTAACATTATCATGAAAGTGGATAAGGCAGTGAGGACAGGATTTATCAGGTTTGTAAAGGGGAGGTTGTAAGCATCTCAGAGAAGAGGATCAGAATCAAACAGGGCTATAAAGCAACTTAATATAATAATTTGGAGAGACAATACACAATAAACAAGATGTGATGCATTGAGAAAACAGAGCAAAGAAGTTTGAAAGGAGAAGCCCAAGGGAGGAGATGATAATCCTTCATGGATATAAATGACTATTGCTGATCAGCAATCAATTCAATTTCACATGCCTCAGGGACAGGAAAGGAAGAAAATCCTGTAAGCTTTGGGAAAGATGTCTCAGGTTAGAAGGTCTCATTGGAAGGACAAGCACGTGGAGGAATAAACTGCCAAAGAATAGTGTGGACTCAACTCTTTTCTAATGAAAATTAAAAAAAAAAAAAATCAAGACAGAAAAATTATTTCCCCAACCAGAACCACCTGACAAAAGAAGCACTCTGCCCATTCAGCAACTTCTCACTAACAAGAGAAAAAAACCCTCTGCTCACTCATGCCCGTCTTGCAGACTCTGCCTAACACCAGCTTCCCAATTACTACCAATTTGTCATTTAAGACAAATTAGTAAAACAAAAAGAGATTTGCAAAAACAACTGCTACCAAAAAAAACCCCTCTTTGCTCTGCTAGATGTTTAAAAAGGTTGGACAAGTTGTTTTGGAAAGAGCTGTGGGACTTCACTGTTTCCAAACAGCTGCAGCAACCTGTGACTCGTGAAAATCTGTAGCTGGAATGAGTGAGTCACAAATGAATCTCATAGGATGGTTTGGGGTTTTTTTGGTTCCATACTACCTCATGCATTTTCTTCATTTTTTCAGGGAGCAAACCCACACATTCCTTTAAATCTGTACCTGAGCAGACACAGAAAAGGTTCTGTCAGACTCACCCTCCCACTGTGCCTTCTTCCAATCTTTGATTTAAAGTACAGTTCTGTATTTACTAATTCATAACATAAAAGATGGAATTGCAATACCTTTGACCACTACTATGGTTGTCTTCCTATGTATCTCTTTGTGGTGGCCACTGATATTTAAAAACTCAGAGCATACGTAGATTTCAGAATCAGATTTCTGTAACCTGTGCAGGGTTGTCCTGAGAGTCTCCCCTTCCTTTGAAGACTCAACATGATTAGCAAAGGCAGGATTGACAGATGGAGATTCCTCCTTGGGAAAATATGCCACATTGATATTCTGTCTGATAAGTCTCAAGTACATCCCCACTTGATATTGTGAACCACTCATTGGGCAAATTATGTTGATGGAGTCTCCTTCCCAAGCACTGATAACATCTGTGGACTGTTCATTTCCTCCACCTAAAAATAAGAAATGCAATTGAAAATATAATATCAGAGCTCCTCTTGGTCTGAGCATATCAAAGAAGGTTTCAAAATCAACTCCTCCACCAACAGAACTGCTCTGCAAGCCTGGACCTCAGTCTCCCCATGCTGGACATGTCATTTCTTGGCTGCTCTGGCACCTGTAGTGCCCTTCGTGCCCGGTGACCTGAGCAGCTCAGCACCTTCCCAAGCTTCAAAGGCCTTAGCAAAAAAAGTGGCTGCTGTCACGGACACAGAAAATGTAGTTCTCTCTGTAGATTCCCAGGAAAATCCTATTAGTTCTCAAAATACAAACTTCACTAAGAGTGTCCTGATAATGGGTTTCAGATATAAGTCAGGAATTTAAAAGTGAGGAAAAGAGGTAGAAAAGGGAAGAAAATACACTTGTCTTTTTAAAGGGGCATTTAACAATAGCAGGGATAGAGATTCTCAGATTCAATACAGGAAGAGGGCTGCAGAAGGTTCAAGTCCAATCTATTTAAGAAACAAAGGCATACAAATGCAGAATTAAACCCTTGGAGTTCCCCAATATCCAAAGAAACTGAAGGGGGAGCATTTGTGCAATGAATAGTGAGGAATAGAGAGATCAAATGGGAAATACCTGAAAGAAGCTACATCAGAGGCAAGGAAAGAAAAATTAAATAGAGAGCGCTGCATGGCTAAGACAAACATAGCTTAGAAAAGTTTGGAAAGAAGGAAAGAAAAGATTGAAATGTAAGAAATGTAAGAGCATCGATGCTGTACGTACCATCCTGGGCAGGGAAGCACGGGAGAAGCAGGAGAAAGAGGGATGCCTTTGGGAGACACAACATCCACAGCATTTCCAAAGGTCTTTTAGCTGCTCTCTCAGCCTGACCAATGAGTTAAAGCCCTGAGCACTGCTGCCTGCCTGTTACTTGAGCTGCCTACTGAAAGAAGTCAGCAGAGTTTTGCTTTTGCCTTTGTGTGACAATGATTGTGATGGAGGAGGCAAAACCTTTTCTCTGGGAGGGGCAGCTTGTGTTTCTTCACACTTAAACCACTTCTGTTTTCTTGCAGCTGAGCAACCCCCGGCCCCCAGGGCAGCAGTAGAAAGTTGTCAATGGGGAGCACTACCTCCCCTCTGAAGACAACTGAGAAAAGGGAGGCTCAAATTGCTCTTCACAGTGCCAAAATCAGGCAGTTTTCTCCCAGTTGTGGTTTCCCTGGAAATGCAGGGGCTTGCTACCATCAGTTCAGTTTGTCAGGACTCCCACAGGCTTAGACTGACGGCTGCAGATGCAAAAGTCTTGGCTTTGTAAGGAGAAAGGAGATGAGGGATGCTCCATTACTTCAGGAAAACCCTCAATTATTGGACAAGGCCTGCACACAAACCAGCAGATTTGATCTGTATTTTGGCAATAATTGTGAATAATTGCCAAGCAGGAGGAGCTGGAGTCCCTTCAGCAAACACCAGCACTCACACCCAGCTTCCCCCCAGGGCAGACCTGACCCACAAACCAGCCCACCTCCCATCACCAGCAGGAGAAAGTGGATTTGACAGGAAATCTGTAGGAGCCCAACAAGGCCTTTTGATCTTGTTGCTAAATGGATCTATTCCAGGAAACATCATTATCTGAAACTTTCAGGTTTTTCCTTCTCCCTTAAAGTCATTGCAAAGCCAAGACAATAAACAATTCCAGTCTTTACAGGACAATAAAGCCTTTTTCACCGTAGCAAAGTGCTCTCTCAAAGTGAGAATTAAACCTTCAACCCAGAATGCCAATTCTATTCTTAACAAGTAGAAAGAGCAACAATTTCTTAGAGATTGGCTCGAAGACAGGAGCACTTAAAGAAGACAGTGTGAGCACCACACACTCTTTGTGACCAAGGAAGCCTTTGTGCCTCTTCCCTTCCCTTCTCCCAGTGCATGTGCAGCCTTTCCAGCCCCCAACTCGTTCATCTCCCCTTCCAGAGCCCTGACCAGGAGAGGAGAAAGTCCCTTGGATGCCAGAGGAAAAGCTGGATACTGGATCCTCCCTTCTTTAAAATTTAACCAGATGTAATTAGTACCTAATTACCTGTAATTGTATTTTTACTTTCACTTTTAGAGTGCAGGTCAGCATTGTCACTGAACATTGACACCAGGCAAGCCCGTGCTGACGTGTGGTACAGTGCAGTAGGGAAAACATGGAAAAAGCCAATCACACTCCCTAAAACTTCCCAGGGACCTGCTTAGGAGTACCTGGGCAGTCCCCTGGTCCTTCTGGTACTGCAGCAGTGATGGGAAGGGACTGGATTTGAGATCTGCTCCCCAGTCTGGCACTCCCTGGCCATGCAAGGGCTCCCAGGTCTGTTGTAAGTTCAGGGCCTGTAAGCACAGGGTACAGATGAGGATAAGATCTGCTACTTTTTTCTCTCTTTTTTGGGTGAGGTTTTTTGGGATGGTATGAGGCAAAAAAACCTAGCAAATTAGATTTTATCTCTCAGCAAATGCAACACGTGGTTACAGCAGCAACGCTTCCTCCCAGCCCACAGCTCACCCTTTCACCACACTGCTCTTCCACCCTGGCTCTCAGCACAGCCTTTTTAACAGGGACTTCACAGGGAGCCTGTGTTCCCAACAAACCTGTGCCAGTCCCAGACAGTCAGCACTGCTGCAGACTCACTGACAGCAGCCCCAGGGGAGCAGACATCTCACTGCTGCTGAGCTCACCTGAGCTCACCCACCACCCACTGCACCTCTGAAACAGCCTGGGATTCCTCCTGGAAAATCAGCTTGCTGCTAGAGAAGGAAAACATGTCTACAGAGCGGTCTTCAGGTCAATCAGGTTGTAAAAAATCAAGAGAAGCCTCAGTGTGTGGTGCCATCTCCCAGTGCATGGCACCAGGTGTCCTCTGACATGCAGATAAGGGAGAAAATACCAGTGCCACTCCCTGTCACAGCAGGCACAGAGGGCTGTGACAGTGACAGGAGTCACACAGCCCCAGTCCGAGGTACCCAGCACACAGCACCCCTCATAGGACACAACAGCCCTTTGCCCCCGTGAATCCACACCAACCCTTTTTCTTGGGCATCCTCTGCTGGTCCTGGCTCTTCACTGCAAGTGGCCTCAAAGGACAGCCAGAAACTGGGGAAAGGAAGTGCACAGCACCCCCTGTTTGTGAGCTGAACCCCTGCTTTTGCAGAACAAGGAGGGAGCCCTGTGCACACACTCCCATCTCAGGGATCTCCCTATGGAAGCTGGAAGTGCCTGTGCAGGTGCTGGCACAGCTTTCTGCATCTTTGGCTGCTCTGAGCAAGAGCAGTCCCTTGGCAGCTGTGAGGTACTCAGCAGGAACCTCTGAAGTTACTAGAAAAGACTCCAAATATTTCATGGAAACAGTGATAGTTATTTAATAACTCCACATCTTTGCCAAATGGGCCACTGAGAGAAAGAGTTGCCCAGCAATTAAATGTTCATTTTCTGAAGCACAGAGCAAGTTACACTGATGGAGTCTCCCTCCCAAGCACTGATAGATGTTCTCTTGACTGTTCACTTGCTTCATGTAAAAAAGAAGAAATTAAATTGAAATTGTAATATCAGAGCTCCTCTTGGTCTGAGCATATCAAAGGTTTCAAAACCAACTCCTCCACCAACAGAACTGCTCTGTAAGACTGGACCTCAGTCTCCCCATGCTGGACATGTCATTTCTTGGCTGCTCTGGCACCAGTGACCTGAGCAGATCAGCACCTTCCCAAGCTTCAAAGGCCTTGGCAAAAAAAGTGGCTGCTGTCACTGACACAGAAAATATAGTTCTCTCTGCAGATTCTCAGGAAAATCCTATTAGTTCTCAGAATAAAAGCTGCAGTCAACTCAGCCTGATAACTGGAGCTGGTGTCAGATCTAAATCAGGAAGGCAAAGGTAAGGAAAAGTGGCAGAGAATAGAAGAAAACACACTTTTTTTTATATATATAAAAGCATTTAATAACATCAGAAATTGGATAATACAGATTCTCTGAAAGAGGATTGCAGAAGGTGTAAGTCCAGGCTACCCTGAGAAATAAAGGTATACAAATGTATAATGAGACCCTTAGAGCTCTCCAGTGACCCCAATATCCCAAGAAACTGGGCAAGAAGCACTTGTGCAATGAATAGCAAGGAGCAGAAGGATCAAATGGGAAACACCTGTTCCAAGTGTTGGAGATCTCTGAAAACATCACCAGCAAGGGGATCAGTAAAATCCAGATTTGATATTAAGCACCAGCACAGCAGAGTTTGTTCCAAGGTTCACTCTGCTACTGACTGGATGGTTAAGGCACACTGAGGGAAAAAACAGCTACAAACAAAATCCAGTCAAAGCAGAAATGAGCCAAGAGCTGTCCCTGTGTGTGCTTGTGTTTAGCTGTGTGACAAAAGGACAGTGATTCAGCAAACATTCCCATTGTTTTAGAAATTTGCTTCTCCCCTTGTGCTGCCACTGATTTTTTATCTAAATCAGATCCAGTGCAAAAGCTGAGGATTTATTCGAATCAAGTGGGAATGGGGAATGATTTAAGGATACCAAAGGGTCTGTACTCATCTCACGTTGTCTAAACTGGCTAATTTGTCAGGAAGATGGATGCCAGAGTTCTGTCCAGCCCGGGGGGAGACCAAGGCCTCTGTGACCCAATGCCATTCCTGAGGGAGCTGGACACAACCTCCCACCCAGCCCTGCACAGGAACAAACATTCAGACTCAGTCTGCAGGTGGGGGCAAAACCAAATATCTCATCCCAGCTTTTCCAGTTCAACCTACCAGCCAGCTGATGGTGGAAAAGCTTTGGTGAATGCAGAGATGACCTGAGAATTAAAACAATACAGGCACCTGGGTGCTGCTGTGGCACTCCAAAGTGAAAGGCTGCAGAGGGCATGGGAAGTGCTCCAGAGCTGTTCCCACTTTGTCACAGAGAGAATTCAGCTGCTTTCAGCCTGTGCTGCTGTCAGCCCCACACCCTGGGGTGCCTGCTTGCTGCAGCCAAGCATCAGGAGAGGATGGGGGTCCTGGTGCTGCCTGTGCTGCTCACAAAGGCCTGGAGCTGGACCAGAGTCATCGTGCTCAGGGAAGGTGTGGATGTGGTGAAGCTACATTTGTGAAAACAAATATTTGGGAATGCTACAGCAGGAGTGCTCATGGAAAATCAGTCTGTGTTCTGCTGGTCGCTGTGCATCCTGAGAGAGGAGGAGGGTGCTGCTGGCAGAGAAGTTTTCTCCCTTGACATGGTTATCATGAATGTGTGAGGTTTTCTCTGTCAGAAGACTGTCTGTCTTGCTTAAAGGCTGCAGAATTGAAAAAAAAAAAAAATCTGTGAGGCCACCAAAGAAACTGGTAGATTCCAGTTAGAATTATGAACAAAATGCATCTATTTTTGAAGTCCTCCATGCACCTCCCCTCTCCCATCTTCTACTGGGCCACCCCTTGTTCCACAAAGGGGGCAGCTTCAAGGCTCTGCTGTGACCCTGCCTTGGTGCTGTGACCCATCAACTTCTGCCTTAGAGAGGCTCTAGGACAGACCTGAGACATCACTGGACATTGCATCCCAGGGCAGGACCTCAGAGCAGTCATTAATGGTAAATTTTTTACCCCTCACACTGATATATCCATTAATCTATTGATGGAACAACAGTGAGACTGGTTTTGTGCTGCCTTTGCCGGGCTGTGCACGTACTTGTGCAACTCCTCCTGAAACAAATTCAGACTTGGATATTTAATCCTCTGGCTCTCAGAAAGAAAAAAGCAGCATCAGGGGATGGACTAGGAACAGGAGAGGAGGCTCAGCCTCAGGCATACACAAGGTGCTAAAAACACTGGCGCCAAGAGGACAGAGGATGGAGGGAAAAGCCATTATGGCAGGTTCAAGAAGTGTCCACAGAGCCCATCCCACTTCTCTCCTTTCATATTGGTTTGCAAAACAAACTCCCCTCCTGGATGCATTTAGGAAATACTTGTTCTTAAATTAAAGCTGGCTCTGGAGTGGGCAGGGCTGGGAGAGGGAAGCACTCTCCTGAAGGCCCTCTCAGCCCATGCCTGGATGTCCTGGCTGGGACACATCCCTGCCAGGGAAACTGCGCAGCAATGCTGCAGCCTGGGACTGCTCCAAGGAGCAGGAACCCACGGAGGGAAGGCTGAACCCTGTGACTCCATGGCCCTGCCAGTGCTTCCCCCTTGTTTCAGGAAGAAGCAGTGAGGAAATTCCTTCTGTGCTTATTTTTCACAACAAAGCCACCGGATGGGCACTGTCACGGCGGCCACAGGAGGAGAGTTCATCCCAGCTGTCAGCCCAGTGAACATCATTAAAAACTGAAGGAACAACACATTGGAGATGACATCCAGGAGGAAAACCCTTTATGTTTTTCCCACTTCCAAGTGCGGGACCCACAGGCAGCACACAATTTGTCAGACTGTACCTTGGCGACGCCGCAGCCGCAAGAAGTAAAACATGGTGCCCCATCCTGCGCAAACCCCAGCAAACAGGAATGCCAACAAGATGCCAAGGCTGCTCTTGCTGGTGAGAAATTCAGGATTACCTGCAGAGTAGAAGAAAACAGAGCATCCAAGTGCAGCAAGCAGGAGGGTTAAGGCATGCGCTGCCTCGTAAGCACCACACAAAGGAACTGGCCCCATCTGATAGGGAGAGAAGGGACTGATGAATGAGAGAACAAAGAGCCTCTGGCTCATCATGTCTTACAGAAGATGGCATAATGCTCACTTTATCAACATTCAAAGCAATTTCTTGTCACCCCAGCACAACAGATACCCTTGGACATCAATCTTATCTGAAATGACCAACAACAAGTGGTGAGACCCATCCTTGATGAAGAGTTCAAATAAGGAAATCCAGTTTGAGTGGTTTTTAAAAAGCTTTTTGTCCATGGCCTAAGGAAGATGACAGGGTTTCTACCATGAAAGAAATTTGAATTTATAAATGTCATCTTTAGTTGACAAATGTCCTCTTGGTCTGGAGGCAAAGTCTCATTTAGCACTTAAAGATAAAGTCAATTCTTGGGAACTTGTTGCATACCCATCATGTCCCCCCTTCCCTCAGCATCTCTGTGTCTGTCACTATGTAATTACAGGAACCTGAGCCTGTGGACATCTCTGTCCAGAACTGGCCATGTCCATTTGCCAAGGCAAGGTCTCTGAGACTGGTTGGCTGCAGCATGTGTGGATTCAAATTATGAGCGCACAGGACATCTCCTGCCCATGTAAAACTCTGTTCACATCTATCTGTCTGGAAAAACCCCTCTCAAAGCAAAAGGCAAAAAACACAAGCAGAGAATAACCTAGATTTTCCTCATCAGAAATGGCAATTGGCAGTGATGTGGGTTTTGGATGTGACTTTTGAATGTAGCACTTCAGGTGAGAGTTGTGATTCCAGGCAACTGCCTCTGCTTCACAGCAAACATTCTTCTCCTCAGTATTGATGTTACCGCCTCCATTTCCTGAGAAAGATGAAATGTAAAAATTTTTGATTATAAATATGAATCATGTAAAAGATCTTCAGTGAAGGGCTAAAGATGTTAAAGAGGTTAATAGATTTAAAAAGTGTATAATGTTGCACAAAATGTTGGAGATTGCTATGATTGCTACGAGTTGGAGATGTTTCATTCCTGAACAGTCCAAATCAATCATTGTCATTAGATTTCCCTCTCACCAAAGCTGATGAGGTGTTCTGGGGATCAAGAGTGGAAATGTTTGAAGAAGGTAAGAAGGTTTTCACATGCAGTTAAGAATAACAACACATCTGTAAAGAGCTTATGTTTTGCATCAGTTAATAACCAGGTTCCTAGCACATCATACCTCCAGAATTCAGGTTGCCACACCAGATTTTTGGTTGACCACTTTCGTCTGAGTAGAGGCCATACATTCCTTGAGGAGAGGAATCTGCATGCTCAAAGCAAACAGTGATGTGTGATTTGTTGTTCACCAACTCAACTGGGACATCTGAAATAGTATTTCTCTTGTTTTGTATTTCGGCAATTCTTGTAAAGTTTTTTAAATCGTTTTGGTCTTTCTTGCATGTGCAGTATTTATAGTCCTTGCAGTAGTAGATTGTCGTAATTCTGCCTTGTGTCCTGTTAGCAGGGCCAGCACTGGACATGGCAATATCTAAATCAGGAAAAAAAAAAAAAAAAAAACAAAGAAAAAAAACTTCCACCGGTTTTCTCCCTGGATGTTTAGTGTTTGAGAACAAGATGGGTCTTGGTGGACAAGCTTAGTTATGGCTTTGGAGACATTGTCTGCCAAAGGGCAAATTTTATACAGTATTGGGGCCAGTTCCCAGGATAACTTTTGGGGTAGAAACATGATAGAATTTCCCCACTACTTCCACTGTGTTTTTAACTGACAGTCTGTGAGGTGAGTTGAAGATGTTTCTCCTGCTGAGCTCACCTGTTCTTGTCCTCTTTCCTTCCGAAACTCCTTGGCACAATCCCACCAGGTGTCCCTCCAACACGCCAGCTCCCAGGACCACTGAAGCTCAGAGCTGAGCTGCCACACTGCCCAGTCTGGGTGCAGTGTCCCAGGTTTCTTCCCTCAGACCCTCCCAGGAAAGAGTCAGTCCTTTGGGACATCAGACAGACCCAAACTGTCACCCCTCCCAAAAGAGGAGATTGTGACAGGTCAGACACATCAACCTTCACCTCCTTCATTTCTCTTCTCACCTTAGAGGCTTTGTGGTCTTGCTTTTAACTGGGCACAGATGAGTTTCTCCTAACACTTCCGAGGTTTTGGCCTATGGAACTGCAGGGGAAAGCACTGAGGTCAAACACAGAGACTCACTTGGACAGGGAGCAGCAAGAGCCAGGAGCAGGAAACCCAAGTGCAGGAGATGGGGAGAGTCCATGGGGCTGCCCAGATCCTCCCAGATCCTCCACAGTGCCAGGGCAGGCTTCTCCCTCAGTCTTCTCCCTGTGGGGAATTAAAGGCAGTGCTTAGCACCCAGTGCCTCTGTTCTCTTTGTCCAGACAGAAAGATAACAGCTCACAGAACAAATGCCAGGCAGCTGCTTCCAGCCCAGGTCGTGGGATGGCAGCAAGGCAGAGGAACCCTCACACTGCTCACACAGCTGCTTCTGCACTCTGCAAGGGCCAAACTCACAGCCCTGTGCACCTCTGGCTCATCCACAGCAGCAGGAGACACGAGGTCCTTCTGCAGGGAGAGGGAAATCCTTCCTGAGCCTGCTGGGCAGGAGGCTCCGTGTCCACGTGTTCCTCCAGGCAGTGACCCTGCACACACCCCTCAGCAGGAGCAGCAAATAACAGCTTGATTTGCTGTCAAATTTTCCAAAGTTGAGTTTCCAAGTTCCAAAGTTTTCTCCAGTTTTCCAAAACACACCAGAAAATTAAGATGGATATGCTGAATATCCATCCATAAGATGGATTATGTTGAATGAATGTTTCACTTGGCCCAAGATGAAATATTTACTGTCAAATCGAATTATATTTTTAGTTTAGGAGATCTGATGGGAAATATCTGTTCATGTCAAATGAACAAACAAACAACAACCTGGCATTTTTTCTCAAAACATCCTTGGATTTAGCGAGAAGTTATTTTTCATTTAAATAAAATTGCCACAACTTTGTGATGTATGCTTTATGTATGTATGATGATGTAAAATACTTGCCAAATAAGAAAAAAATTATAGAAAATTCACCTAACTTTCCTCAGCAGAGTAGCTCTGGAAAATACAAACTGCTTTCTTCCCTTTTTTTCCTTTCAAAAAGGAGCTTTTCATCAAAAGCTTTCATTAAAACAACTTTTTTTTTCCGCTGCCACTAGCTGAGGAGTACATTGAGGAATTTTCCAAATTAGTTATATGCTAATTCCTAATTATGCATTCAAGAGACGTTAATAAATGCTTATCTCTTATCTCTTATGGTCTGTGCTGATCTCGACCTGCTGAGACTTCTACCCCATTTCCCAGAAACAGGAGAGCCAGGAGAAACACAACCCAAGGACACACCCTCTTCTACCACCTCTGTGCACTTCATCCTGCTCACGTGGACAGTCCTGCAGGGATTTCCTCTGGTCCCACCAGGTGTCAACAACAATCTCCTCTCTTACATAAAAAATTCACACCTAAAAAATTCATCTGCCTCTTCCCATACATAAAAAATTCATCCTGTCTTTTTAATTATTTTTTTTTCTGATCGTTCATATTTCACACATTACTTTATCTCATTCCCTGATTTGCAAAGCACAGTTAACATTGCCTGGCCCTCCTGCCCTGCAGATAAGCAGAGTTCCAAGGGATTGACATCGATCTTGGAATCACAGAATCAGAAGTTTGGAAAAGACCCTCGAGTCCAGCTGTTAACACGGCACTGCCAAATCCACCACTTAGATCACGTCCCTCAGTGCCACCTCCTCTTGCCTTTTAAATGCCTCCAGAGGATTTGTACCCCAGGGAATGTTTGCTGCACAGAACAGCTGCAGCACATCTGGCAGAGTTGTTTGCCCAGAGGTTAAGATTTGGGTTTTGCCCAGTAGTTTTCAGTGTGAGGTCTGTATCTTGTATCCTCATTTATTTGGTCCTCTCTTGTGTAGTCTTCTCACCCCTCTCCTTATTCTGGTCAATGACATGTCCCTTCTTCTTCTCTCTGGTGACATTCCCTCCTTTTCCCCCTCTTCTTTTCAGTTTCATCCAGAACACCATCCAGCAAATCTCTGTTTGCCCCCCTGACCTGTCTTAAAATCTGGAGACTCTCCAGCTGTCTTGGCCAGCTTCTGACATCAATTTTAAACTTACTTCAATAAAACACTCAAATCTAAACTGAAACACATTCTTTGGACAGAAAATAGTTTCCATCCATTTTTTTTTGTTTGTTTTGTTTTTTCTTTTTCTTTTTTTTTTGCCTGTTTCCCTTTCTTTTTCAAAGTAATAGAAACTTTCACTTATCAGAGCTTCTGAAGTTTTCTGCAGAGCTGTAACAGAGTAAAGTCAGACCCTAAAAGCAGGTCAGGAACAAGCAGTAGGTGAATAAAGGAACAAACAGGAAGAGCTGGAGTTCCTTCATCAAACTTACACCCAGCTCCCCCCAGGGCAGACCTGACCCACAAACCAGCCCACCTGAGATCACCAGCAGGATTTGACAGGAAATCTGCAGTGCCCTAACAAGATCCTTTGGCTTTGGTTTTGAAAGGATCTATTTGGGGAAACATCACTACCTGAAACTCTCAGGTTTTCCTTATCCCCATAGCATCATAACAAACACAAAACAATGAAAAAACTCCAAGAGAAGGAGAAGGAGAAAATTCAATCTCCAATGCATTAACATAATTTTCAGCAGAACAAAGGTTCTCTCTCCAAGTTAAAATCTGATGTCCCATGTTTCCTCCTACTCCAGCACAAGTGAAACCAGGTCACTGCCTTTCCAGTGTGTGTCCTCAGGCTTTCTGCCTCTGGCACAGTTCAGTGGGGACCCCCAAAGTGACCAAAGCAGAGTCCCCCCAACATCCCCAGGAGCCAGCAGAGCAGAGCTGCTGCCCCAGGGTTCACATGTCCTCCCCTCTCCAAACAGCCATTAAGCACAGTCATGGACACACAAAATCCAGCTGTAAACACTGCCTTTTCTCACCTCTCTTCCAGCCACATACCCTGGCCTCGATAGCTTTAGGAGCAATTTAGTCTGTGGGTTTTATGGTCAGAACCAGCTTGGTGGAACAAGACACCAGAATTTCTAAAAGATGTATCTGGCACCCTAAGGGTCCTGTGGGAAAGGTTCAAGTTGCAGTCAGTTTGGAAAAAATAGTACTATTGAAAGAAGCAAGGCAGCAACAGAATAAAACTCCAGAAGACCATACAGATTTTATTTTCGACTCTCTTTCCCAGAAAAGGAGAAGTATTTACATAAGAGAATTTTGGTATCACTTTCCTTATCACACTTCCCTCACGTTTCCTTATCATGGTTTGCTGTATACCACTAACAACAAACCATTGCAATAAAGACAAATAAAAAAAACAATACAAAATTATGTGAGGGGATAAAGAAGCTTTTTCCTTTGTGAGCATTTGGCTGCAGTTGGTACCTAAAGCTCCAAAAAGCTATTGCAGACAGAGCAATCAGCAGGACATTGCGGTTGAGCTGAGAAATCTCTGCAAAAAACCTAAGTGTAAAGCACACTTTGGCTTTCCTTCACCTGCTCTGAAACAAAATTTCTACAGCATTATAAAACCTTGGTAACATTTTTTTCCCCTGCCTGCAGTACATTAAGTAGAATGAAGTGTTTCACTGGTTTTACTTCTTCTATTTTAAAACCACTAATGCTTTGTGTTTTGGTTCTGTTTTGTTTCATTCTGAACCCCCAGAGCTGCCAGGCTGGATTGTTCATTAGTCAGGCTGGATGTGGGGAAATGCACAATCAGCTCCTTGAAAAGAAGAGCTCCATGGATTTCTCCTGCAACCCTTCTGACAAATTCTTCCTTATTTGCAAACATGAGAGGATGGAACTTTTGGAAAAGAAGAACTTTTGGAAAAGAAGAACTTTTGGAAAAGAAGATATTAGCTAGACATTCTAAGGAGCTATGAGGAAAAAAGAAAGAATATTGATGGATATGGAAAAACTACTCAGGAGTTACATGAACAGGAAAATGCTGTTAATACATTTATTCTATTATTTCTGACGTCACCCACACTTTTATATAAATGCACTAAGAGGAAGCTGTTGGATTTCTGCATTCCCACAATCAGTGTGAGTTCACACAGAGCTCTCTGGAAGTTGCCAGTCTGGGCTACAGATGTGGTATTATTTAGTTGCAAACATCACCAGCACCAGCAGCACATTTCTTCCCTGTGGAGAAAGTGTGCAGCACACTGAGAATTTCCCTCCTGCCACAGACATTTCAGTGCCTGTTTCTGAATGCCTACTGCGAAACAAGAAAGCAGGAATTTGTAAGAAAACAGGGTGGAAGACAGGACCCTCTAAATAAGAAGACGGTACCTCAGAAGCTGTTTGTGTCCAAGGATGCCTTCATGTCTCTTCCCTTCTCCGAGTGCCGGTGCAACTTTTCCAGATCCCAAATCATTCAACTCCTCTTCCAGAGGAAATGAGAAGTCAATGGATCTCAGAGAAAAACCCATTTCACTGGCTCCTCCCATCATTTAATGCAACCTGGTGTCATGAGAAACTGCATTTTCACTTTCAGTTCAGAAGTACAGGCCAGCAGCGTCACAGAGCAATGCAAACCAGGTAAGTCTGTGCTGCCGTAAGTGTCAGAACTGCTGGAATTTGCAGGAAATGCTGGAATTTGCAGGAAATGCTGGAATTTGCAGGAACTTAGATAGATGTCATAATAGCAATGCTTTCTCCCAGTCCACAGTTCGTTCTTTCACCACACCACTCTTTTATGGCACTTTGTCCTTATTTTTATGATGTGACACTCAACTCAGAAAGTTCAAACGAAGAGTTTCTGCTTGCATATTTTGCTCTGGGATAAAAGGAGTGTTGCTGGAAGGATTCACGTGCTTGGTTTATGCTGAGCACTGCAGCACCTGTGCCGTTGTAGGGAGGCTGACCCTCAGGGAAACTCAGTTTCAGGGGTTTATTTATCAGACATCATACAGAACTGATCAGCCTTCAATTTGATCAACCACACTGACCCTCCAGTGAATTTGGGCTGTGCTCTCACAGTCCCAGCTCAGGGCAGCAGCTGTGTGTTTAAAAAAATGCTCCAAAACTGGGACATTTGTCTGCCATTTCACTCTCATGTTTCAGGCTCAGGACATTAATTTGGAGACATTTTCTCAAAGAGAAACCCAACCCACCTGTACAACAAACACAGCCAAAACCAAACAAGCCAACAAAAAAACCCACAACAAAACTCCTTGTTTCCCTTATCCTGTGCCCTTGTTACCCTGCCCTGGCCCAGAAGGATCACCTTCACCATATATATAAGTTTTCTACATCTCTAGAGAAGTTGGGCTGAACTGCTCAGCCAGGACTGCCTTAATATGTTGTAAAATGGGATGGGAATCACAACAAGGAAACAAGCTGCAGTTATGAAATGTAGCAGAAAAAACACAGTTTGGGGGGTTTGGGGGTTCCCAGAAGATTGCTTGGTTTGAGGAATGCTAACAGCACTGAACCCTTCATTCAAATCCAGCCAAAGTAAATAGCAGCTGTTCTAGTGCAAGCTGGCACCACTGAAGATAGCAATATTCTGGGAATATTAGTCAAAATTTTAATTTTTCTTTTCTCTTGATTAATTTTCACAGAAAGGGTTAGGCTTCAAGAACAGGATTTGGTAATAGCAAACCACACAAGAGTTGTTTTTTATTCACCTCTTCCTTAGAGACACAGCACTGAGTTCCCCTGGCCCAGGCATAATGTGATTTTTCATTTTCAGTGTTCCCTCTGAGGGATACCAAGTTCCTCAAACATCAACTTTCTGCAAGCATAGGGCAGAAATTCAGGGGTAACATAAGCTGCCTAATTTAGAATTACCAGGAACAGGCAAAGATCATCAGTACCCAAAAACTGCTTGGAGAAGTTTTAGTTTTTACAGAGTTTGCACTGCATCCTTTGACTATAAACTGTGTGATAAATAGAAAAAAGGTATTAGTAATTTATGTCTTCAGTAAGGAACTTCTCCTTGTTAATTAAATTGCAATAATCCCATAAACTCCACTCCTGAACAAGGCTTCATTTCAACTTCCAAGAGAGAGAATCTCCAACATGAACCTTCTCATAAGGCCAAGGAATATTTTACTTTGCTCCATCCTGACAGCACAAAATCCCTTCTAGCTGAACCCAGAATTATTGGCCCAGAATACCAATGTTAACTTTAACCAGAATTTTACCCAGAAACTGAACATGATAAATTAACCAGAAGATATGAAAGTCAAATACTATGAACACAGAAGAACCTCAGTTTTTCTTAGCTGTATGCATAATTACAAGAAGTGTTTTGGGCTTCTATTACTTTTTGTTTCAAGGAAATATAACATCTTTTTTCTCTTATTTCATGTTCTGGGAAATTAAAAGTAGTAACGCAGCATGGGGATCTTTTCTGGGTCTCAGCATTAACAGTCTTTGTCCCAATAGACTGTTGGTCTCAGTGTGCTTTGTCCTTGATTTTGGCTTCCAAATCTCACTTATCTCCACTTTCATGGAGTTGAGAAATTCCCCTGCTAATGAGGTACCTTAAGAAGATAAATAAGGTAATGCATGGCTGGAACATAAAAAGGATAAGCCCAGTGTTTTATGACAGCCATTGTAGGGTCATAAATGCTTTTATTGCCAAGCCACTCACCAATCAGGTGCCATAAGAAAAACCAAAGTTGTTTTCAGGCTTTGGTTAAAATGTTACCCTACAAAGCTGGGCATGCACATTCAGCTTTGCTCAGAAGTGTGAGAGGAGAGCCTACTGTGAAAAACCACGTCTCTTATTTTGGCACCTGTGAATTACTGCAGAGGAAATCAACAGTGTCCTAGATGGCAAGGCAAGATGTATTCAATTGCCATATTTTAGAGGTGTAGCAGTTATCTTCTCTCAATTGGGCAGTTTTCTTTATTTCTTCCACAAACCAATCCTCTCTCAGGGGAGACATCTGCTGATAATGGGCTATTGAATGTCACTGCATGGCTGACAAGAACTAGAACATCCCATTGTGAGATGCTCCACCCAGAGGGAGGAGCCAGACATTCCTACCTGGATATAATCTTGAGTTTCTGGACCACCAGCACAGCTTTTCCTGCACTGGATTTCCCAGAGGAACAGCTGCCTCTTCCACTGCAGGAAGACAGGATCACTGCTCCAACAGAACCACACCTGCCACTCCAGGTGGACTGCAGCCACAATTTCCAACGGGACTGCTGCCAACACCCTGACCAGCAGGGTGTTAGGTTGTGTTCTGACTCTGTCAGTGTTTTGATTCACTACATTGTTTATTTTATCTTTTTATTTTCTTCCCTAATAAAGAATTGTTATTCCTGCTCCCATATTTTTGCCTGAGAGCTTCCCTTAATTTCAAATTTATAACAATTTGGAGGGAAGGGGGGGTCTAAATTTTTTTTTTCCATTTCAGAGGAGGCTCCTGCCTTCCTTAACAGACACCTGTCTTTCCAAATCAAGGCAACAGCTACCCAAGATGCTGCAGGCAGAAAGAGCTTGTGCTAAGCCCCCATGGACACCTCATGAGGACATCTCCTCTTCCAGGAGCTGCCCTGGAGGCAGAAGAGTGCCCAAGGGCAGGAATGAGGAGATTAACTTCTTAACCCCAAGGATAGATGGACTGTAGACAATTTTGATCTTTTGCTTAGTATAATAGAATATTTAAAGTTGGAAAAGGTTTTGGAACATTAAATCATTAAGGTTCCAAAATTATGAAGTCCAACATTTGACGAAACTTCTTTGACTTCAAGGCCACCAAGCCTGTGCTGTGGCACACAGAGCAGCCCCTGCTGCCAGGAGCTTGTACCTGGCCCAGCAGCTGTGTAGCCACCCAAAACTCCCTCATTTATTCACTGTAGGATGATCCAGTCACCTTTCCAAGTATTAAGCATCTTCTCTTATTATTTTTTTTTTTAATTTAAGTGGTTGGGAGAGTTATTTTGAAGCCTGCCAAGAAGCTGCTCTCCCTACAAGATAAGATCATTAACCGTTTGTGATTGTGCTCTGTTTCACTGTCACCTGTTTAGAGCTGCAGATATTGGCTGAATCACCCTGAAACAGTAATCTGGCCTGGGGAGACAGCAAGTTGAATAAAGCACCTCTCTTCCTTCCACAGCTCACTTTTGGTTTTGTTTTTCCAAATTCCAATAGCAGAATTTGGAAAATTACTGTATGGAATCCAACTAACCATTGTCTTGCAAGAAATACACATTGGCAGCTTAAGTGTATGTGGCAATGCTCCAAAGCCTTTTCTTCAGCAAAATCTGGAAATGAGCTTCCTCTAAAAGGCAGTCATTCCTAGAACACTCTCTTCCAAGAGTGCCAAACCAGAACTGTATCGGCTGCGGTGATCCTCTGACCTCAAAATGCTTTGAAGTCTTTTTAGGAGAAACAGCCCCCTTTTCCAAGCACTGGTGCACCCTCTGTGCATGTCCAAGGGAGCTGCTTTTGACTGTTATGGCACAGTCAGTACCCAACAGCATCCCAGAGAGCAGAATACACAGAAGCCGAGATCCAAAACCCCTCCAGTTTTGCAGAGATACAACCTGAGATCTGCTGAGTTGTCAGAGCAGGTGCTAATAATGCCAAGGTTTTGGGTTTGATCCCAAATAGGCTATTCACTTAAGAGTCCCTTCCAACTCAGACTATTCTCTGATTCTGTGAACCAACAGTATTTTAGACAAAGAAGTTCCATTACAGTTCAAAACAAGGTTCAAAGCCTTCTGTGATGGAAAACGAAAACAATTTATCAGAATAAGTTGTTTACTTATAGTCTAATATCAAAGCCAGATGTTACATTTCCTTTAATAAAAGAAAAGAATCATAAAAGATAAAGCTGTAAATTAAATTCAGGATGGAACCCATATTTTCTTTGATTATCTATGAAAAAAAACCCATGTTGACCTTAAAAAAATCTTTGTTTCCCTAGAGCTAAAGAGAACATAAGGAAATTTCTATTCTCCTGAAATACCAGGTGTCTGAGCCCATGAGACAAAGCAAATAAGTTTGTTAGTGTTTGGTTTCCAAATCTCACCTGTATAACCTCCACTTTCATGTTTGGAAGGGACTCCCTTGCTATTCTGGTAGTCATTAAAACAGTGCATGGAGTAATTTATGGCTGACATATAAAGAGGGCCATAATTTTTTATGGCAATGAAGGCAGTATCACAAAAGTTATCTTTGTAATTCAAGGGATCAAATAATTCACTAGTCAAATACCTGTGTACCATCAGACAGCTGCTCACACAAGGAAGCTGTTGTCAGGCATGGTTTTCCCAGATGCACCAGGTGCAGTCCCCTGAGGTTTCTGCATCACCAGAGCAGAAATTTGGCTGCAGAGTTCAGGGCTTGTAGAGAATGCTCCAGCCAGCACCAGGACATTTGGCTGCCATTACTCAGGTGCCAGGCTCAGGACATCAAAAAGAGAATGGTTGAGACCCCAGGTAATAATCACACTCAGAATTGAATTAACATCACTCCCCAGTACATTCTCACATCT